GTGCAGCTCCAGAGAGGAGCCGGTGCAGCTCCAGAGAGGAGCTCGGTGCAGCTCCAGAAAGGAGCACAGTGCAGCTCCAGAGAGGAGCCAGTGCAGCTCCAGAGAGGAGCCAGTGCAGCTCCAGAGAGGAGTCAGTGCAGCTCCAGAGAGGAGCCGGTGCAGCTCCAGAGAGGAGTCAGTGCAGCTCCAGAGAGGAGCCGGTGCAGCTCCAGAGAGGAGCCAGTGCAGCTCCAGAGAGGAGCCGGTGCAGCTCCGAAGTGGAGCACGGTGCGGCTCCAGAGTAGAGCCCACCCCCTGACTATGCCAGCACATTCCCACATGTTCTGTTAATCTAAAGAAAACCCCTTTCGATCCCTTCCTTAGGATTTCCAGGGCATCCTCTCCACACGAATTTGGCTCCATCTCTTCTCCCCACCCTCACCGCGCTAGGGCTGGAAGGTTTTCCCCTCGAGTCAAGTTTCCACCTGACTCCCTGATGGGAACGCCTCCCTCATGAGGGATCAACCAGCACGGCACACAGACATGCAGGAAAAGCCCCAGACCCCTGTCCTACCTGTATAGGCCATGTTCTTCGGGTTTCCGTAGGGAGCCCCAGGTTGGACGGGGCTGTAAACAGGATTCATGGTGGAAGACCGGGGACTCTGAGGACAAAAGAAAAGCAGAGTTGAGACGGTTGCCTTACGTCTGTGCAGAGCCCTGATAGCATCATCCTGTTAGAATTCCAGACACAGAGAGCTGCGAGAAGGGATTTACAACCAGACATTACCACCAGATAGCATATTTAATAATTCAAGTTTTGGATCTCTCTGCTAATTCCCACAACTTGCCCAGCGCTGCATATTCTGCCTACAAATGCACCCGGAGCAGATTCATCTTCCACATCCCTGCTCCAGGGGGGCTCAGGACTCCTGACCCCACTTCCAGCTTGCCATGAACAAAGAGGAGGAGCCACAAAGTCAGGCAAGGAATTCTCGCCCTTGGAAGAGCGAGGAGTTCCTGGGTGATAAAACCAACCCCGCTGAAGACCTGACCTTTCCAAGAGCAGCAGATAAAAGGCCGCTTGCTGCTGGCGAGACGGAGAAGGGCACACACTGGCRAGATTTGTGCGTGAGCTGCCTGTGAAACCTCAGATCCTGCCAGGGGCTGGGCAGGGCCACCCCACATCCCACCCGTGTCCCACAGGGGGACTCTGTCACAGAGCTCTCGGGAGCGAGGAGATCTCTGCAGCCCTGGTGCTCCTCTCTCTGATAAAGATGATGAAGGCAGGTCAGCTTCTTGTGGGTTTTATTAAGAGGAAAGCAAGTGACTTGGGAATTTGTGTCTCCTAACTGTCAGTTAAGCAACTGGCTCAGTTAATTATCTTAATGAAGCACATTCTCAATTCTGATTAATGGGAAAATCAGTCATTAAGCTTTATTAGGCGACATTTGTCTCCACAGCTATCTAGTGATAATTTCACACCAGAACCAAACCCATCTTGCTTCAAAATCTGGGGATTTTGTTAAAATGTGCTGCTTTACACTTCATAAATAACACCATTCCCTCCAAACAAGTCCCTCATGATGGACACACAATTTGTTAGATCATTAACTCCTTCCACTTTACCTCCGGAGAGTAAACAAGTTAAATGTTAGCACCGATTGACTTGACAACAATTAGTGCTWAATTAATTAGCTGTCCCTCCACCCCCAAGTTAGCGCTGAAGGAGCCATTCTCAAAGCAAAGGAAATCAGGGTTATGAAACAAGCAGGAAGAAAAAGCTATGGGGAGACATGGAATTCCATCAGTGGCTTCACTAACACACAGCAGAGCATTAAGATGATCTGTAGGAAAATCAGCATAAGACCAGGCTGCCCAGGGAAGCTGTGGCTGCCCCTAGATCCCTGGGAGTGCCCAAAGCCGGGCTGGAAGGGGCTTGGAGCATTCCAGGACAGTGGAAAGTAAACTGGCCCATGGCAGGGGGCGGAATTGGATGAGCTTTAAGGTCCCTTCCAACCCAAACCATTCTGGGATTTGATGAAATAAAATTTATGAGGGTCCCTCTTCACCTTCCAGTCGTTCCTACACAAAACACCCATGGTGACAGCTGGACCTGCTCCCAGGCAGGGCTGGAGTCACAGCTGCTTTTCTAAAGTGCCTTTTCAATCCCAGCATCATTTCATCCATACTCTTGTGAGTGTAAATAGTACCAAAAWATCATAATTTGGGAGGAAAAAAATGATTGTGTATGTGTGGCTTGTATTAGGAGTTGTACCAAATGGTGAAAGAAAAATACTCTTATTGAGAAGGATGAAAGAAATGCTTTTTATCCAAGATAAAAAGGTTATAACCATAGTGGAGGCTTGAGAGCTTGTGAGGAAGACACTCGTGCTTCTTTCCCTCTTTGTAGGCAGAGTGGGATTTCCAGAMAGCGGGAAAGAGCCCCTGCAAACGGCATTTGGGAGAGATGATTTTCTCTCCCATTCTGCAAGACAATGCCATCTGAAAATACATTTGAAATTCATTGCAGGCACCATGTTGTGGCATTGAAACAGCTACACCGAAATGGGAATAAAACAGGATTAGCAAAACTAAACCTCCCGCACCGCCAGAACCCGCAGTGTTTGCTCGTGGCCATGAATACCCAACCAAAAGATGAATAAAAATTAATTATAAACAGGCAAACACGAGCRCTGCTCTATTGCAGGAGCTTCCAGGGCTTCCTAATCCCTGAGACAGCRGCGCTCAGTTGCTCCGAGAGACTCCAGCAAGGAGCAACTCCGTCAGGAATGCCATGGGAATGGGCTGCTAGCAAACAGTCTGGGGATACTTCGTGGTGTAACCTGGAGACGATTTCATCTGTGTTATCCTTCCTGTGAAAGGGCGGGATGAGCTCCTATCAGGAGAGGGAAATGCACCACACCAAGGGAGGGAAATGCTCYRMACCAAGAGAGGGAAATGCTCCATGCCAAGGGAAGGAAATGCTCCACACCAAGGGAGGGAAATGCTCCACAGCAAGGGAGGGAAATGCTCTGCACCAAGAGAGGGAAATGCTCCATGCCAAGGGAAGGAAATGCTCCACACCAAGGGAGGGAAATGCTCCACAGCAAGGGAGGGAAATGSTCYGCACCAAGAGAGGGAAATGCTCCATGCCAAGGGAAGGAAATGCTCCACAGCAACGGATGGGAAATCTCCACACCAAGGGAGGGAAATGCTCCACACCAAGGGAGGGAAATGCTCCACACCAAGCAAGTGAAATGCTCCACACCAAGGGCACATGGAGCCACATGGGAGGTCAGGAATTCAAACTCCTACGGACACAGACAGCGGGAACATCTCACCCCATTGTTTTCCTCCAGCACTGGTTTACTCTGTGCCTTTGGAAACACCGTGCACAGATCCCCCTCATTTCCATAGTGGGGAGTTGCAACCCCCACRTTATGGTTAGAAAACATCTCTGAGATCATCAAATCCAACCTCTGACCAAATATAAAAGCYGGCATGTAAAATCCAGGAAGTTTATGAAGTTATCATCATTATCTTTTCAGAATAAAGCAATGAACAAACAGAAATAAATATTTTTACAGGGTTTTTAAAACAGTGACATGGACAGGTGAGTCTTCCAGGCTCTCCGAAAATTAAATAGCAGCTCTGAACTTGAAAAGAAAAGAGTAAACAATGGAAATGGGAACTGTTCTGAACAACAGACATTTTTCCATTTTGTTTCAAGTCCCTCCTGTGTCAAGGTGATTTTCCCTTTAAACTCCCATCGCCCTGWTTTTTACGGCACTGGGATGCAATTGCTGTTGAGAGAGCCATTCCTTGCCCTTTGCAGAAAGGGTGGCATTTTCTGTATGCGCCAGAAGTCATTTATTTCACATCAGGTGGCACAGAACTAACATGAGAGAGTGTGAACAAAGAAAAGAGATACGTTTCTTCCTTGACCTGCTCATCACCTCTCTAAATGAATTTTATACAAATTGCATGCTAATCATATGCAGCCAAAGTCTCCTTGAACATGAAAAGGCCTCCTGACCTTACACTCCATGCAAATTCCACTAATTTTCTGACAATTTTTCACTTAAGCCTTTTGAAGCTTGACCCTCACTTGGGATCTACCAAACAATAATTAAATTACCTTCCAATTCATCTGTTAAAGGTTAACTTAGGCAAGTTACAAAGCCATAGCCCACCTCTCCCCAAAAAGCTCTGGGACAGTAGGCAYGAGCTCGGAGATTTGTTTCCACAATAAGCAGCGTCTTCTTTAATTTATTATTTTTTTTGCGACACCTTAACTTAGAGCTGATGGAACATCTCTCACRGGAAACRAAATACTGAACCTGTTYCAGAAATGTAACAGGTTTTTATATYGTGTGAAAACATCAGGTTGACACAGGGAATCCCAGAAGGGTTTGGGTTGGAAGGGACCATAAAGATCACCCAGTGCCACCCCTGCCATGGCAGGGACACCTTCCAC